ATATAGTATATTATATATATATATATATTACTATATATATTACACACACACACCACACACACACAACACACACACACACACACACACACACACACAAACACACAACACACCACCACACACGCTCCATCACACACACACACACACACACACACACACCACACTCTACCACACACACCACTACACACACACACCTCACACACACACTACAACACCACACACACACACCCAGCGAGAGCGAGCGAGCGAGCGAGCGAGACAATATGGTGAGTAGTACATATATATACCTCTAAATTACCTGTACGTATAATTATACTCCTTATATAAATATATATATATCTATATCCATTTAATGTCATGCACTTACAGTATACTATATACGAGTTATATATATATATATAATATATATATATATATATATAATATATATATTCCATTTATTATAGTCATGCATATACAGATACCTCTAGTCTATTACGCACTCTGCTCTATATCGAATATCCATGAGTATAGTATACTAATCTTAATACTAATATATATATATATATATATGTATATATATATAATACATATGTAATACTCATACTATATATATATAATATATATATAATATATATATACACACAATATAGGTAACATACTATCTATCTTAGTATTATACAATTTTATATCCTATAGATATAAAGTATTATAGATATAGCATGTAGATGTTAATTATAGTGAGATTACATACGGGTGAGGGTAAGATCTAATTATATCTATATATTTTTATTCGCATCACGTATGACATACATACACACATCAGTGTATATTTTCTTTCCACACACACAACACTACCACCACTCACACACTATCTACTCGACACACACACACACACACCACATATACTATTACTACACTCATATAATATACTATACTACTAGTAATAACTATATATATATAATATATTATAGTATATATATACATTACCATCAGTGAATATATAGTATATATATTATATATATATATATATATTATATGTAATACCGTATTTACGTATATATAGAGTCTACGTTAATTATATATATATAATATACACACAGTATAATAATATAGTACCACGTCTATATATACTGATTATATATTATATAATAATATATATACAGTACTATTATTATATATAAATATATATATATATATATAAATAATATATACTATATTATATACATCAACATACATAGTATATAACACGTAATATAGTACATTATATAAAATAAATTTATATATAGTACTATATAGTATATATACGTAGAATATATATACACAGTAATATATACTACTATGATATATAATTATACGCTATATATATATATAGTCAATATATACAGTACATACTATATAACTATATATAAATATAAGTATAGACATCTTCTCATATATATATTATATATATATAATATATATATATATATTATATATATACACAGCATTATAATATAATAGATATAATATTCATCTATAATATATTTAAGTAGTACACTAAATATACAACTATATATACATTTATATATATATATTATATATTATATACATACAGTATATATAATATCTATACATAGTTGTATATATATATATCTATATATATATGTATGGAGTGAGAGCCTCTTAAGTTACTTATATAATATATATAGTAATATCGTAGTTACATATATTATATATGTCGTATAATAATGCACTAACTGTTATACATAGCTGAACATCGTTATATGCGATAATATACATATACGCCACACAACACAATATTATCATATATATATCACTATGAGACTATTACGTCTATACTAATAGTATATATAACATATTATAATATATAATAATATATATATATCTATATATTCTTGATAAGTACTTATATATTACACACAGTATGCCTATACTACTAACTACTATATACTATATGTATATATATTATTATACTAATATACTATACATA